GACACTCACATTCACTCACACACTCACACATACATACTTACACACACACTCACACACTCACACTCACACACGCACACACACACGCTCACACTCACACGCTCAAATTCACTCACACACTCACACTCACTTAGAATCACACTCACACTCACATACACACACTCTCATACACTCACACTCACACACACACTCAGAATCACACTCTCACACTGACACTCACACACTGACACTCACACTCACTCACACACACACTGAAAATCACACTCAAACTCACACACACTCTCACAATCTCACACACATATTCACACTCAGTCACACTCACACTCGCAGACACACTCAGAATCACACTCACACTCACACACACTCACACTCACACTCACACATTCACAGTTGCTCACACACACACAAAATCACACTCACACACACTCAGACACTCACACACAGTCACTCACACACACACTCAAAATCACACTCAGACTCACATACACTCTCACAATATTCACACTCACTCACACTCACACTCACACTCACACACATATTCACAGTCACTCACACACACACTCACACTCGCACTCACACACACACACACACACACACTCACACTGACACACACTCACACTCACACTCACACTCACACTCACACTCACACTCACACTCACACACACTTACACACATATTCACAGTCGCTCACACACACACTCACACTCACACACTCACACTGACACACACTCACACTCACACACACACTCACACTCACACTCACACTCACACACACACACACACTCACACACACACACACACTCACACACACACTCACACACACTCACACTCACACTCACACTCACACACACTCACACTCACACACTCACTCACACTCACACTCACTCACACTCACGCTGGCGCAGCCGCAGCCGGAGCCGCCGTGCCCGCGCTGCCGGGGTTGCATCAGCTGAATTCATTACCGTCTATTTTTACTAATGCAGCAAATCAAGGCTCTCTCCAGGCGGAGCGGCCCGCCCGCCCTACCGGGGCGCGCTTACAGCCTTTGTCCGCCGCTCCCGGGGGACGGGCGGCCCGGTGGCCCCGGCCCTGCCCGGTGGCCCCGGTGGGCTCTGCCGGTGCCGCTGGGTCGGAGCATCGCCTGTGCTCCGACCCTCTGCAGAGGTCTCGGGTCGCCCCAGCGGTGCAGAGGGGCCGCTGAGCACTCTGGAGGCCCCCCGGAGATGGAGGGGTTGTGTTTGGGGAGGGAGATGCTGTACCTGGCTCTGTGTGTGTGTGTGTGTGTGTGTGCACAGGTGGATTCGTGCTCCAGCCTCGGCGCTCGCACAGGTGAGCTGGGACAGAGCTCGGAGCACAGCTCTGAACTCAGTGCTGCTTTTCCTTGCTGTACAATCCAGGAATTCAGCTAGGGAAGGGCCTCGCCTCTCCACCTGGCCCTGGAGACCAGCTGTGTGTGTGATGGGAGCTGGGAAACCCTCCTGGAGCTGCCCTGAGAGCTCCTGGGGAGACCTAAGGGCTGAGCGCAGCTTTCCCTCTCCCCTACTGGCTCCCAGCGGTGCCAAGGAGCTCATCCCACCTGGCAGTGGACAGAGACGCTCAGGAGGGGCTGGGAAATGCCTGCTTTGAGTCCCATTGCCCGGGGCTGGGTCTTGCAGCTCATGGCCAAGCAGAGGAGCTGTCACGATAGGAACCCCCAGCACTGCAATCTCTCAGGTCCCACAGAGGTCAGGCTCAGGCTTGGCAGGGTCGGCCCCATGCCCAGGGAGCTGGGAAAAGCTGGCTGAGGTGCCAGCAGCAAGCTCTGCTCAGGTCCCCACCACTTTGGGCTTTGCTGAGAGAACCGGGAGCACTGGGAGCACTGGGAGATGCAGCTCCTGTCCCTCAGCCCTCAGCCCTCCAGCCCCAAGCCTGGTCAAGCGAAACTTCCTCCCAGCAGGGTTCCCTCTGACCACAGGCCCCTCCTGCAGCAGCTTTCACTTCTCTGCTAAACCCCCTTCTCCCCGAGACAGCAAATTCTGACCTGGCTCCTTGTTCCAGGCAGCCCCTGTCCCCTTGGGAGGAATGCCCCACTCTAAAGGAGTGCAGGAGGGACAGGTCCAGGGCAGAGCTGGAGCCCTGCTCCCTTCCCCTCAGCCTCCTCTGAGCATCTTCACTCTCCCACCATGGGAGGATGCTCGTGCTGAGCCAAGCTGGTCCCTGCTCCCCACTGCCCAAGGCAAGGAGAGGAGGGAGCAGCTCCTCATGCTCTGGGTCCTTCCCAGCCCAGCCTGAGCCCAGTGACAGCTCCCAGTGTGTCCCAAGCCCTTCCCTCTGCCCCTCCTGGCCCCGGGGAGGGGTGAAATGCAGGATCCCCTGAGGAGCCAGGAGAGCTGTCTCCAAGCACAGGGTGTGGATGTGTCCCTCAGGTGCTGCTGGGACTTGTGCCTCCCCAAACCCTCCAGACACGGTGACAGCCACACAGGCACTGCTGCCCCTTTGCCCCTGGGCTCAGGGATCCCATGGGAGCTGGGGTTGGGTAAAGCAGGAGCCCTTGGCATGGGGCTGGTGGGACACCAGGCCGGGCAGTGTCCAGCCATGGCACTCCTTGACTTGGTGTGCTGTGGGTACTAAATGTCAGCACGGGCTCCAAAAAGCATCAGGCACCATTCTGATCCTGCTCCCAGCACAAGCCCCCGGCCTCACGCTTCCCTTGTCCAAGAGCTGGGCAGGGATCACTCCTCCAGCAGGGAGAAACCCTGGAAAAACAGCTTCTGCTGGCCTGTGCCCTCCCCAAACACTCTCCTCTTCAGCCCTGAGCTCCCCCGTGAGCCGCCAGCCCTGGAGCACCCAGCACACGTGGCTGGTCCCCGTGGCAGGTGGGCAGAGGTTGGCAGGGGGTGGGATGCTGCCAAGGAGCTCTGCTCGCCTGCACACCCAATCCTGCTCCCTCCCACACCAGCAGCACCCACTCGCCTCCCAAATTCCCTCTCCGGGTGCAGCTCCTCCTGCACAGGCACTGCTGGGGAGCAGCAGGAGATGGGGATGGGGACACAGCTGTGGGCAGGACGATGGGCTTTGCCATGGAGCTGCCAGATGCTGAGCCAGGCACGGCTTCAATCTGCAGAGTGGAGGGGCAGGATGCAACCTCCAAACTCCAAGTGCTCCCACTCTGGCTGTCCTTCTGTCTGGCCACCTCCCCACAGGATGGTCAACACGGCTGGGACCCCACTGGAGGGGACAATCCTTTCCCCACTCTCACCTCACCCTGGCCCAAGTGAGGGTCACTCCTTCCCCAGGAATTTGGGGGGGCAGGAGGGTCCCACTGCCAGGGGTGCTTGTCCTGCTGATCCCCTCTGCCGTGGAGCTGCTGGCACGGGGAGGGGGGCAGGCAAAGGGATCGATGTGGGGGAAGCCAGCTCGGGGAAAAATAGATATCTAGCTCATTAAAAATGGATGCTTGAGCGAGTCCTCCCCACTCCAAAGCCACCTCCCTCCCTCTTCCTGGTAGCCGGAGTGAAATCAGCACCCAGCTTCCAGAGGAGGGGAGATGCCAGCATGGCACAGCGCTCGCTCTGTGCCCGCTGCTCCCAGCCTGCTGTGTGCTGAGCCCCTCGGGGTGCTGTGCAGGGGCCCCGAGACCCCCCAGACCCCGGGCAGAGGGTGGGCATGGAGAGGGTCTGCCAGGAGAATCCCTGCTGCAGGGACTCCATGCTCCAGCCTTCCCTGCCCAGGCACTGCCACGTCCCACCGACACCAGCAGGTACCCAAGAGGCAGAGCTACCTCAGCCCAGTGCCCCATGGCACCCCTGGACCCCCACATGGCCCAGATCTTGGGGGTATCTAGCTGGTTGCTGCCAGAACCCCGTGCCTCAGTTTCCCCCAGCCGTGCTCAGCCCCAGCCATTCTGTGGGGTCGAGTGTGCCTGGTCCCCAACGCCACGCACTGATCCCTCTGCCCGTCCCCACCAAAACAAACCCCGGGCTCCCATCGGGGTCTGATGGGGATCCATGGCCCCGTGCTGTGGAGCTCAGCCCCATCCCGGCCAGGGCCTTCCCCTTCCTCCATCCCTGGGCTCTGGGAAGGGGGCAGGCTGCCCCTGTCCCCCCATCCCTTGGCTGGTGTCACCCCGCTTCCACAGAAAGGTTTTGGGGCGTTCGGGTGTTTGAATGCAGCATCGGGGATGCCAGTGGTGCCACCAGGGAGGACAAGAAGAATTTTAGAGGCTGGCAGCAGAGGTGGAAGGGGGCAAACATCAACCCCACACTGAGGCCACCGTGTCCTTCCAGCGCTGTCCCCTCACAGCTCCATCCCAGAGCCGCCCGTGGGACCCACCGGATCCCCTTCCCTGCTGGGGCGGGGGGGACACGCAGCGCATCGCCTCACCCCCACATCCCCCTCCCCAAACCGAGGGGGCGGAGGGGGCGGCATCACTGGGGCGGGGGAGGGTCACACCGACCACCGTCCTCTGCTGAGCCACCGGGAGGCGGGGGCGGAGGGGGGGCACCGGACCGGAGCCCCGGGGCCGGGCCGGCTCCGCTGCCGTTATATAACGCGGCTCCATGATGCGGGATGCGGCTGGGGGTGGTGGCGGTGCCGGTGCCGGTGTCGGTACCGGTAGAACAGGCAGCAGCACCGACCCCGGCATCGGCATCGACCCCGGCACCGGCTTTGTGTCGTGAAGGGTTTTCCCGAGCGGCTCTTACCTCCAGCCCCGTCTCCCGAAGCTCATGCCATGCCTTGCGCCCGTCTTCTTTCGCTCGCAGCAAAAAATCCCACCGGGAAGAAAACGGCGAATAATCCCCCCAAAAATCCCCGTTGGCAAAGGGGCCGGATCCCGCCCGGCCCCCGCCCCAACCCCGCGAAACAACAGGAAAAATAAGCGGGGAGTGGAGGGGGGGAATGGGGCCGGATCCGGATCCGGGGGGATGGAGAAGGGGGGCCCTGCTGCCAGCCAGCCCAGGGAGATGGGAGCACACGCACACGCGCGTTTGCACACACGCACACGCGTGTCACCAGCCGAGCCTGTTAAAGGGACACGGCCACCGGCAGCGGTAATGGAGCGCGCCGGGAAAGCACCGGGAAAGCACCGGGAGAGGCACCGGGAGAGGCGAGGTGAGGTGCGGGACACCGGGAACGGTGCGGGGGGAGCGGGCAGGGCTGGGCTGGGCTGGGCTGGGCTGGGCTGGCAGCGGGTGTGCAGGCACTGGGGTGGTGGGTGGGTAATGCAGGGGTGGAAGGATGGGGGATGGAAGGATGCAGGGGGATGGAGAGGTGGCAGGATGGAAGGAGGGATGGAAAAATGGAGGGAAGGATGGGGAGATGCAGGGAGAAATGGAGGGAGAAATGGAGGGGTGGAAGGATGAATGGAGGGTGGAGGGATGGAGGGGTTGGAGAGGATGGAGGAATGAAGAAATGGAGGGAAGAATGGTGAGAGGAAGGGATGGAGAGGTGGAAGAAGAAATGGAGGCATGGATGGGAGGGATGGAGGGATGGGGTGGAGGGATGGGGTGGATGGAGAAATGAAGGGAGGGACGGTTGGAAGGCTGAATGGAGGGATGGATGGGAGGCTGGAAGGACAGACAGATGCTTGCTCTGGCTCTCTCCCCAGCAGGGCACGGCAGGATGGAGATCCTGGTGCGGATCCTGCTGCAGACCCCACTCACCCTGGCAGCCACCTCAGGCTTTGCTGACAGCCCCTGGGGCACAGCGGTGACACCGGACGCTGCCCCAGCACCCCCAGGGACAGCAGGCACACCCAGGCCAAGCAGCTGTGCCCACATCTGGGGGGGAATCACCTGCCCAAGCCACGTCTGGCACTGCTGGGGTTGTCCCACTGCTGTCCCCCATGTCCCAGCACCCCCAGCTCAGCACCCAGCTTGGGCCCAGCTTCACCAGCAGCCACATTTAACCCCATCCTCTGTGCCTTCCCCTGGCACGGCCCCATGTGAGCAGCAGCTCCGGCCCTGGGGAGGCTGAGGGAGCTGCCTGCATCCGGCCCTGCCTCCTGCTTCCATTATTGATAAGGCAGGTTGGGTTTCACACGGGCAGCTGGCAGGGGGCTTGGGGGAGGAGGCTGTGCACACACTCACACTCACACTCACACTCACACTCACACCCTCAGCACACCCTGCCCACTGGGGGACAAATGCTGGAGGGACAGTGGCTGCAGGGCTGTGTGGCCTCATCCAGGTGCCACGTGTGTCCTGAGGAACTGCAGGTCTTTCCCCCACAGTCCCTTGTCCCCCAGCAGTGTCCTGCCCCCAAGGAGGTGTTCCAGGGGAGCTGACCAGCAGCAGCCTGGGAGCAAAGGCTGTGGTGTGGCCCTTGGGGACACACTCTGCACCCAGAGCAGGCCAAGTGCCACTGGGAGACAGCGGGACCCGCGTGGTCCCTGATGTCCCCTGGTCCTGGCATAGGCTTGTTGTCACTAATCCCTGCCACCTCCGGGACTCAGAGGGGACAAGCTGCTGTGGCCCCATGTCCTGGAGACATTTTCATGCCAAGAAAGCTGAAAACTCCAAGAGGACTCATCACTGGCGAAGAGGAGACTCCACGTGTGTCTGTGTCCCTGAGGAAGGGGACACAACAGGGGTGCCACCAGTCCAGGGGGTGGTGCTGATGTGGGGTGCTGCTCACCCCACCTCACCCCACAGCCAGAGGTCACCACCACGACCCTCCTGACCCCCTTGCCCCACACGGCTGTCCCTCCTGAGCGCCGGGAGGGCGGTGACCAATGTCCCCACTCTGAGGCGGGCCAGCAGCCGGGAGCCAAGTGCCACTGCTCCCTCTGCTCCTGTGCCACCGCAGGCGCCGGGAGGCCGTGCCGAGCGCTCCCGGTGCGGCGGGAGCATCGCGGGGCCGCGCTGGACCGCAGTGCGCCGGGGCCGTCGCCGCAGCAACCGCCGTCGCCTAGCGCCGCTGTCTCCCGGTAACCGGTCGCCTAGCAATGGGGGATTTTTCACAGCTCGGGATGAAGAGTTGAAAGTTATTTTTAGCCCGGGCTGCGAATCAATAAGCGGCTCCATTCGCTGCCCCGCAGGATGCACGGACGGGCCCGGCGGTGGGGGGAGCAGGGGGGTCTGTCCAGCCCTGGGCTCGGCCCCTCGGTGCTGACCCCGCCGGGCTCAGAGCTCTTCCCTGCCGAGGAGCTGATTCCCCTTCGGGTTCCCCCCATCCGGGCTTCTGTGGGGGTCCTCACGGGGAGCTGGGGATGGCCACGCTGCTGTGGGACCCCCTTCTCACTCTGGGGAACCTCATCTTATTGTGGGGACTCTCAACCAGCCATGAGGACTCTCCTCCAGCTGCTGGAAGCCTCATTATTTCCTGGGAACCTTCTCCCACTAGTGTGGATCCCCACCTTGCTATGGGACCCCCACCTTGCCATGGTGACCCCATCTTGCCATGGGACCCCCACCTTGCCATGGGACCCCCACCTTGCCATGGTGACCCTCACCTTGCCATGGTGACCCCCACCTTGCCATGGTGACTCCATCTTGCCATGGGACCCCCACCTTGCCATGGTGACACCTTTCTATGGTCACCCCCACCTTGCCATGGTGACCCCACCTTGCCATGGTGACCCCACCTTGCCATGGTGACCCCCACCTTGCCATGGTGGGACCATCTTGCCATGGGACCCCCACTTTGCCATGGTGACCCCATCTTGCAAAGGGACCCCCACCTTGCCATGGTCACCCCCACATTGCCATGGTGACCTCCACCTTGCCATGGTGACCCTCACCTTGCCATGGTGACCCCATATTGCCATGGTGACCCCCACCTTGCCATGGAGGCCCCACCTTTCCATGGGACCCCCACCTTGCCATGGTCACTCCCACCTTGCCATGGTGACCCCCATCTTGCCATGGTGACCCCCATCTTGCCATGGGACCCCCACCTTGCCATGGTGACCCCCACCTTGCCATGGTGACCCCCAGCTTGCCATGGGACACCCTCCTTTCCATGTGGACCCCTGCTTTGACATGTGGACCCCATCTTTGCTTTGGGGACCCCCACTTTGCCACTGGGGACCCTTGCCCTGCCTTGAGGACCCTCCCCCGTGTGTCCCCTCCTGGCAGGCCCCCTAAGCTCCCCATTGCCACTCTCGGGGACACTGAGAGGGGACAGAGCCAGGGGGTTCCATGGGGAGGAGCTCCTGCAGGTCCCCAGGCATGGGCTGGGAGCTGAGCCGAGCCTCCTGAGCTATTTTTTAAAGACAAGGTGGGTGCCTCCCACAGCCGCAGCTCCTTCGGGTGCTCGGTGGGGCGGGAGCTCCCCACGCAGCCCGGGGGGATGGGAAGCTGCGTGGGGACAGGCTGGGGACCCCCGGCCCCTGCGCAGCCCTCCAGGAGGGTTTTAGCCTGGAGCGTTCCTGCCCGTGCCACCACCCACTCGTGGCACAGCATGGAAGGTGCCCAGAGCCACCCCACAAGGACATTTTGTGGGCAGCGTGGATGCCCCACGGACCTGCCAGAAACTCCAGGAGCTACCCAGGATAGAAAAACTTTGGGGTGACCCAAAGGAAGAGATGGGATCCTCAAAATCCAAAGGAAGCTCCTGCATGGAGCACGGAGCGCTCCACGAGTGGCAGATGGGTCTGGGACAGAGCAATCCTGGATGAGTCCCAGCGGGTCCGGGGGGGACGTGGAAATGCTCAGGGGACTGGAGAATCTCCTTGGTGGGGGAAGGCTGGGAGAGCCGGGGCCACGCAGCCTGGAGGAAACCTTCCGGCACCCTGGTGACACCTAAGGGATCTTGGAAGGGTGACAGGGAGACGCTTTCGCCAGGGACTCCAGAGACAGAAGAAGGGGAAGCAGTTTTCAGCTGGAAGAGCGTTTAGGTGGGATAAAAGGAGGAAAGGCGTTGTGGGGTGACGGTGAGAAGCTGGAGGAGCTGTGGGAGCCCCACGGGGCGCGGTGTGGGGTATCCCCGCCCAGGGCAGGGCTGGCACCGGGCGCTCTTCGGAGGTGCTGCTGGACGAGCCGAAGCTCTGCCCCGCTGCGGGACGTGTTTTTCCCCTTCCCACCCGAGTCCCCTGGGCCGGGGGCGGCGGTCACCAGAGGGCACTGCGAGCCCGAGCATCCCGGAGCGGCCCCGGGGCCCGGAGCCGGCGGACACGCGGCAGGGACGGGGGGCAGCTCCGGACCCCCCACTCCGCCCCGGTCCCACCGGGACAGCACCCTGCGCCGGCCGGGGACAAGGAGGGGTGGCCAGGGGACACGGTGGCGCTGGGGACACAGGCAGGGGACGGCCAGCAGAGCGAGCTCCGGGCACGGCGGCTGCCCGGCGGTGCTCAGCCCCAGGGGCAGCTCCGGGGGTCTGAGGCGATTGCAGGGTGCTGCCCGGTCCCCCCTCAATCCCAGCTGCGGTGGCTGCTCCGAAGGGGCTCCGGGACCCCCCGATGGCCGTGCCCCGACTGCGGTGGTGCCCCACAGCGCGTGGAGAGAGGGAAGGCAGGGCTGCTGGTGCAGCTGGTGCCGGCGTTTCTCCAGTAACACCCCGTTAAGGTGGGTCGGGGGCTGTGGAGGGGGCGCTGGCATTAGGGCAGACACTGCCATGTGCCCGCGGGGATGGTGGCACCGTGCCCCAGCTCTCTGCATCCCGGCGTGTCCCAAGGGAACATCCCGCAGGGTACCGAGCGCGCCAATGGGGATCAGTCTGGGTGGGGACACCAGAGCCTGGTGTCACCCTGCCTCTGGTGCCACGCGTCCCCTGGTGCCACCTCGCCCCTGGCACTTGGCCAAAGCCATTGGAGGGGTCCTTGGTTGGTTTGCTGCCTGCCCAGCTGCGAGCCCAGCCGGTTCCACTTCTCCCTGTGTCACCGGCTCGGCCCTGGGACCGTGTCCCCACCACGCCGGGGTCGCTGTCACCCTCCGGGCACAGCCAGACCCTCGGCCCAGCCACCCTCTGGCAAACCCCACAGGGCAGCTCAGCACGAGGGCCAGCGGGCAGAGACCCCCCCCGACCCCCAGCCAGCCCCCCGACACCCCGACATCCCCACCCGCTCCACCTTAACCCACTGCCCCTCCGGCCCCTCATTTTCCACGGATTCCAGCAGCATGACTTCTTTCAGCATCATTTCATGGCCGGAGGGCTGTGAATCCTCTTCTCCCCGCCTGCCTCCCCCCTCCCCTGCCCCTCTTTCTTCCCACCATCCCAATTTACAATCCCTCATTTCCATTCCGCTCCACCCTCTGGCCGGGGACTTTGTTCCCGGCCTGTATCATCCCATCCCAATTGTTCCGTGTTTATTTCAAACATTTTGGCGGGCTGTCACTGGATGGAAACTTAATTAATGGTGGGGTCTGGAGTGGTGGCACAATAGCGGCTGGAAGGGAGGGGATGGAGAGAAACCCCCAGGTTTGGAAGGGGGAATTCGGGGTTCAGATGTGCTTGACCCCCGTGTCAGCCCCGGCGCCACGGGCCTGGGCTCCCCCTTGGTTCGAAAAGTCTCCGTGGGGAGGGGGACGCTGCTGGGGATGGGGGGGGTTATAAGGAGTTTGGGGGGATGTAACTTTTGGGGTACACAGTTCTGGGGGTGTAAGCCAGGGGGCTGTAGCGTGGGGTGTGCATAACCTGGTCTGCCTGTAGCCTGGGGTGTGCAAGGGTTGGGTTGTGCGGGGTTGGGGGTGCATGAGTTAGGGTGTGCAGAGCCTGGGGTGCAGAACTCGGGGTGCAGGGAAGCCGTGGGGTGTGGATCTCAGGGCTGGGGTGTGTGCAACTCTTGGGGTGCACAGTTCTGGGGGGGGGGGTACGTAAACCAGGGGGGCTGTAGTGTGGGGTGTGCAGAGCTTGGGGTGTAGCCAGCCTGGGGTGCCTGTAGCCCCACATATGCATGTCTTGGGGTGCACAGTTCTGGGGGGATGCATGAACCAGAGAGCTGCAGCCTGGGGTGTCCAAATTTGGGGTGCACTTGGCCTGGGGTGTCTATAGACAAGGGTGTACAACTTTGGGGTGAGCACAGTTTGGAGTGTGCACAGTTTGGGGTGCGCACAGTTTGGGTGCACACAGTTTGGGGTGTGCACAGTTTGGGGTGTGCACAGTTTGGATGTGCACAGTTTGGGGTGTGCACAGTTTGGATGTGCACAGTTTGGGGTGAGCACAGTTTGGGGTGTGCACAGTTTGGGGTGCGCACAGTTTGGGGTGCACACAGTTTGGGGTGTGCACAGTTTGGGATGCACACAGTTATGTGCACAGTTTGGGGTGCACACAGTTTGGGTTGGGCACAGTTTGGGGTGTGCAAAGTTTGGGATGTGAACAGTTTGGATGTGCACAGTTTGGGGTGTGCACAGTTTGGGGTGCACAGTTTGGGTGTGCACAGTTTGGGATGTGCACAGTTTGGGGTGTGCATAGTTGGGGTGTGCACAGTTTGGGGTGTGCACAGTTTGGGGTGTGCACAGTTTGGGGTGCGCACAGTTTGGGGTGCACACAGTTTGGGGTGTGCACAGTTTGGGATGCACACAGTTATGTGCACAGTTTGGGGTGCACACAGTTTGGGTTGGGCACAGTTTGGGGTGTGCACAGTTTGGGATGTGAACAGTTTGGGGTGTGCACAGTTTGGGGTGTGCACCGTTTGGGGTGTGCACAGTTTGGGGTGTGCACAGTTTGGATGTGCACAGTTTGGGGTGTACACAGTTTGGGGTGGGCACAGTTTGGATGTGCACAGTTTGGATGTGCACAGTTTGGGGTGCGCACAGTTTGGGGTGTGCACAGTTTGGGGTGTGTACAGTTTGGGATGTGCACAGTTTGGGATGTGCACAGTTTGGATGTGCACAGTTTGGGGTGTGCACAGTTTGGGGTGTGCAGTCTGGGGTCTGTACAGTTTGGGGTGTGCACAGTTTGGGGTACACAGTTTGGGGTGTGCACAGTTTGGGGTGCACAGTTTGGGGTGTGCACAGTTTGGGGTACGCACAATGGGGTCTTCCTAACCCGGGGTGACAGCTGCAGCTATCACAACCACGGGCCTACAGAATTCAGGGTGCACCCCTGGGGGTCGGATCTATAACCTGGGGTACCCCAGCCCTGCTCGGGGTCCTGTCCCCCGCCTCAGCCGTGTCCCCGCCCGGTGTCCCCGGTGCCGCGGGGTGCGGAGAAGCCCCGGGGGGCTCCGGGGATGCCACTGCAGTGGCTGCCGGTGCCCCCGGCGGTGGGGAGGGGGTCTCGGGGGCGGCTCCCGCGCCCGCCCCTCCGCAGCCATTGGCGGAA